TGCCCTTTTTGTTGTACTTGTCTTTTTCACCTCTGTCTTCTCTAATTTGTTGTGTTCCCTCATCTCTCAGATTTCCTTTGCACTGAATCGTAGAAAAATAGGGCTGGAAAGGACCTGAAGAGGTCATGTAGTCCGTCTCCTCCCCCTAGGCAGGATCAGCTGTCCCTATATCATTCTTGACAGATGTTTGTCTAGCTTGTTCTTAAATATCTTCAGTGATGGAGGTTCCCTGACATCCCTAGGCAGCCTAGGCCCCTCTCCTTAGCATTTTAAAGGTCTTCCTGATGCCTGACCCTACCTTCCCTTACTGCAGTTTAAGCTCTTTATTTTCTTCTCCTTTCCATTAAGTCCATATTTTGGCCTTGCCCTTTGTCCAGACTGTCTGTAAAACCAAGTAGCAGCTCTGTTATGATACAGGGCAATATTCTGTCAAAGTTTTCTAGATTTCCACCTAGTTTATTTCTCTTTCCTTATTTTATGCTAAATACCTATCACTTATATGCAGCTTTCTGGATGCAGAGAACATCCCTGATCTCATAAGGCCTTTAGCACAGAGCTCCAGTCAACCATCCCAGGCATAGGAATACCCTACATAAATAATTTAAGAACAAAATTCAGTCTTACAGACCTAATTAATTTGCCTCTGCATTTATCAGTCAATACTACCTTCACTGTTGACAGCAACATGTAAAGTTCATGTAAAAGAAATACAAATAAGGCAGTATTGCAGTATTCAGTTCATTCTTATAAAGTATTATAATGCACTTTTCGCTTCTCTTATTTACTTCATCCCTCTAGCTGTAGTGTGCATACACATATTCCTGCCAGATACTGATCACTGTTGCATACAGACATCATTCTGGCATGTCTACTATATCCACCTACACAGAATGGCACTTACAGCAACTGTTTGTGTGATTTCTGTGCCTCCTGTCTTTGGATGGAAAATGCACAACAGTCATAAATATAATTCATTTCATATATACGTGTCTAAAATTGGGAAAAGTCAGCTATTGCAAGTTCAAATTGATTCTGTCATCTGGAATCTAATTCATAATCTAATCGTTGCCTCTCCTTAAGGCTATTTCTGGAGTGGAAATTATAGTGGATGAAAAGAGAGAGTATTTTAATGCAATTTCATGCCATAGATAACTATCATTGTTTTTTAAGCAGGACATTTACAGCTTAACCATCATGTCTGAAAAGCAGAGGGCATGCTGGAAATTATGTAGGGAGTTAAAGATGGAATCCTCCCTCAGTCTCTGGTCAGGTCTTAAGGTGACTCCTCAGTCTTTTCAACCCCATTGCTCGCTTCTCCCTCACAAGCAGTGACTTAGGAACCAACCTGTAAATATCCCTTATATATTGCTGTTATACCAAAGGTTAATGTGAATCCAAACTTCACTAGCCATATTCCTTTATGCCCAGCTAAATTTTGAGAATTTCTTATATTTGTTTAAATATTTCTGGACTTCAACAAGAGCGTTGCCAAGCTTCTGGGTATTCCAGTTACTTTAAAAATATACACATAGTACAAAACATGTGCAGAGACTCACTTTCTAGACTCAGCCATCATATTGTGCATGTGCTATGTAGTGACTCTGTCTGTGTGCATGTCTTGCATGCAGAGCTGAAAAATGCAGAGCGCCCCCTCATTCTAGAGCTTCCTGGAGGCTTCAGTTTTATCATGCATGTGCTCAGTAGTTGAACTGTTCAGTGACAATATGTTGTAACATCGCTGGAAAATGTTTGATTTGCTATTTCACTGAGAAATACTAACTGGAAATAGTTTAGAAACAATGAAATAGTTTAGAAAAATGAAAAAATTATGGGGGGAAGGTCAAGGTTCAAAAGGTTATCCAGTCCAACCTGTTATTCTCAGGTGGAGCAGCTATTCCAGTTTTTAGCTAATTTGGTCCTAACCACTGTCACAGAAACCCACAGATTCCACTTATGCCAGTAATCTATGCCAGTGTTTCACTGCCAAGTTAGATAGCTTTTCCCAACATCTAATCCGAACTTTGCAGATAACTAGGCCTCCATTATAAAATGTAAGACAGAATAATTATCTCCTCTCTTTGTTAACTATATCTATATTCAAACAAGGCCTCCTGGTTGGTCTTCCCTCCTTTAGATTAAATATAACCAGTTCATTACAGGTGTCTTCATAAGCCTCAGCTTCAGCCATTCTAATTATTTAATTCTAGTTGGTCCAGATTTTAATGAAGTCTGGCACCTAGCTGTGGACATGGCATCCCCCTCTGCAGAGGTCTTTCCAGGGCTCAGAAGAAAGGAAGATGCACTTCACATGCACTGCAGATATCATTCCCACTCACATGGCTTGGTATGGGAACTGCTTTTACTTCTCTTTTGCAACACCACAGGTTTGCAGCCAGCATGCTCAAAGCACAGAATCATTTTGATTCCTAATTCTGTAATCCAGCCTGTCAAAATTTCCTCCCAGCATGTCATCAGCACGTAAATTTAGTGAAGCTATTCTCTGCTCCATCATCCAGGTCATTAAGGAAATATTGAGTTGTGCAGAATGAGGAAACACCATGCATGCACACTTCTTTTTCCACTGATACCTCATCCTCAGTTTTGCTTTCCAAATACTTTGCCATTCATTCTGCAGCAATTTCACCTAAACTATGCTTCCTCAGGTTATAAAGAATGTCACATGAGGGAGTGTCGAGACACTTGTAAAGTCAAACCACCTACTGCTTTTTCCTTGTCCACAAGGCCAATTACCCTGTCTTAGAGGGAGATCAGATTGGTTTGACACAGTTTGTTTCTAACAATCCATGTTGTCTGTCGCTACCTTGTTTTCTTGCGGGTGCTTACAAATTGTTTGATTATTTTCTTCAGTACTTTTCCACAGTTGAAGTTCAGTTGACTGGACTATAATTTTTCAGATCTTTCTCTTTAAAGATAGCTGCTGCATTTGTGCCTCCATCCTCACAGATAAGCACTAACATCTCTTAGGCTGTTCCACACAGTGTGAAAGCATCTAACTCATCTAAATACAGTACTTATCTTCCCTTGCCTGGGCTGGAATCTTTAGTTTTGCCAGAGATTCCCTCAGACAACAGACTCAGACCCCAAATACCTGCCTGTTTCATAAAGCTGCAGTCTGAATGTGATGTGGATATAATGCATGGGCAGGCAGTCCACTTCTGCAGTGTTCAGAAGAGGCCAACCCTTACAGCGGGATGTTTCCCTGAGAGAAGATATTATAAAATTAGACATTCTGGGTTGGGAATTCTCTGTAGATAAAATCCAACCGTTACAGAACATTTTAAAGGTGCTCACTCCTTGCATGAATCTGAAAACTGGAAGCTCTTTAATCAACTTCTCAACTGTTATCCCCTTGATAAAGTGCCAGCTGTATTTTTTTAAGTGTACTTGATAAATAAAAAAATCCTAGATATAAAAAAACGCTTTTTTTATTAATCCACAAGGAAGTCAGAATACACTAAAACTGGCCAGGTAAATAATCATTATTATTAAATGTTAAATCAAAGTTTCTTCCTTCATTTTCTGTTATGTTATTCTATGTAGAAGGTAGAAAAAGAAGTTGAATTTTTTTCCATTCTTAACAGACTCTAACAGGAATATCATCATTAAAATATTTCATATACATTCCACAGAAAGTGTCATCTTGAATGTGAACAGATACCTTTATCTACAATTTTATACAATTTGTTGTCTACTTAGCATCAGACATTTCTATGTGTGCTGGGAGGACAATACATATAATCTGAGTGTTACTAATGAATGTAGCTCCTTTTCTTAAGCCATTTTTTCAGTTAGATATCAAAAGAGAAAACCTCATACTCCTTAGCATTCAAGAAATAGATTTTAATTACTGACATCAAGCAAGGCCAAATAGGCCTTTATCTTTTCCCTTGTAGAAAATGCAGATAACAGCTGCAGTGAAGTGAAGCCTTTTTAGAATATTTTTACGATCTTTTTTGATCAATATCAAGAATCAACATAAAATAAAGGTATAATAAGCAGCAGTCACCAGAGTGTATCAGACCTGTATTACTGTATTCTTATGCTCTGAAAAGACTGTGCTGGACTACTAAAATCCAATTCAAAACTGTAAAGTGCATTGTGTGCCTTCATTCTGTAGAGAGACTGCCCTTCAAATTTTTCTGAGAGTTTTATGTGAAAATCAGTACCAGAAAATGCTCCTAGATTTCAACCCCACATGAAAGCATATTATAGGCAAAATGGATTGATGGTTCTTTCCATTCCCCTAGTAAGCAAACAAAGACTACATTCTTGTATTTGTTTAAAAAAAAAAATTAAAAAGTAAATTCATGTATCACAGTTTATCATTTGCATTTACCATACTCACTAGAGTTTTTAGGTGTGTCTTACTGGATACAATATTGATGTGAATGGGTCTCAGAAGTTTCCATGTGTGTTTTAGCCAAAGACAATTTATCCATTTTCATGATTTTTGTTTGTTTGCCAAGTCTGATGTCATAAAACAAATCATTGATTTCCTGTAGGAAAGGGATTTTGGCTTGGTGTATGTCCTCTTCCCCATTCCCACTCGCCACTTGGCCACTTGGCCCTGGTCCTGCAGTGTGAAAGGACCTCTGTGAAACAGTCCTGATTTCTGTGAGAATCCATGTAGGGAATAAAAGTCTGCTTTCATAAGTCGGAAAACAGGTAAGGATATGTATTAAATAAATCAGAATCCTGCTGTAAATGTCATAGGTCTCTTATAACCCATTTTTCAAAAAAAAGTATTTACCTTCTAATTAGACTAAGTATTCAGTTAAACAGGGTAAAAACTGGAAAGACAATATTCGAAACAGCTCAGATTGCTCCTGCTCTAACACTGTCACCTGAGCAAAGCCCCATGGTGTTTAATGATCCTATGTGATTTTGTTCCCCAGAAATAGATGGGTGAGATGGTGCATTGCAAGTTTCCTATTACTGCTTCACTTTCTAAATACCTATTTTTACATTTTAACATATAGCTCCATCAGCCCTCCCAGACGCAAGTGGGACAAGCAGCCTCACAATCCAATCTCCTGCATTTGGCTCACAGTCAAGCATCTATGTCTCAAAGCCCAGTGCGTCAGGCTTCCTCTTCTTCCTCCTCATCCTCCTCCTCTTCAGCTTTGAGTGTTGGCCAGTTAGTCAGCAGTAAGTATTGCTCCCTGGCTCTCCTTGATTCTCCCTTCTGTTTGTTCTCCTCACTACTGAGTTTTCCAATCTTCTTTCCCTCCTTTTGTTTTTGTTTTTTTTTTTTAATGCAGTAGATTATATATTGCTAAATAGTTGACTCTCTCCAGTGAGAATTACTAAGTGCTATCATGGATGGGGCTTAAGGTAAACATGCCTTGAGAAATTTAATCAATGCTGAAAATGATCATAAAAATGCTAGCAGCCATTAATTGACTCATGAGGGCAATTGTTATAACTGAAATGTAGTTTTGTTTTTTGGAAGTTAGAAGTTTTTGAATCGGTCAGTATAATGAATTACATTTCTCAGAATTTGGTGGAAAAACAGGTAGTCCTACTTTTGGTTAAGCTGCTTGATTGTTTGCTTGCTTGGTTGATATAGCAAACCATTTTACAAACCCTAATACTACACAAATCCAGAGTAAGAGACTTTCCTTGCCAGAAAAAGCTTACAACATTTAAACAAGAATGAACTGGAACACATTGGGAAGAAGGAAGAAGCTCACTGCACTGAAATAACTGAGTTCCAGTGTAAGGATTATAACAGCTGACCTGAAGAGCACTTTCTTCCAGATCACACAATTCTGTCTTTGCTATTACCTTATCAGCATTAACTTGGTCTTTACATAGCAAAAACCACAGGCTGACAGTATACATAAGAAGCACTATCAGTTTTTGCACAACTGCAAAAATCCAAGTGCTTTGGATGATCTTGTTCTGTGATACTCTATGTACATATTCTAAGTAAACAAACACTCTAAGTTATGCCATATTGGTAACATAAAATATGTGACTGATACAAGATTACAAAGGGCTTGGAGAAACCATCATGCAAGGAAACATATAAAAAAAAATCTTGGTTAGATTATTTCAGGGATTGTTTACATGGGAAAATTACTAGTAGATCTATAGTGGTAAAATTACATATGGTAATATGTACCATATAACTCCCAGTGGGAATACTTTTGTTCTGGAATGAAAATATCTGCATATAGATACAGATATAATTACAGTGATATAAATACATAGCTATTGTTTTGTCAGTAGTAAATTTTCTCATGTAGCCATGCTTGTAGGAGAAGACAAAGAGGTTTTACATTACAAATACATAAAATCTACCACTAGTCCATGTGGGCAAATTGAGTAAAATAGCTGGTGCAGAGTAAGTTATTTTTCAATAGCTAGCCTAGGATACCTCCTCTTTTGGATATTCTTATTTAAAATAAATGCAACATGGAAGAAGCCCTTTTAAGTTTACAGAATAAATCCATCAAAAGTTAGGAGATGCTTTAAAAATAGCTGTTTGTTCAACTGTATGTGAGTCCTCTTAGAACATGTATTTCATTTTAACAATATATTGTTGTGATTAAAGTCATGAAATCATGATTTTTTTTTTTTCTCATCCTCCTTTCAGTGCATTCCCAGTGGAATTGTCCTAGGGATGTATCAGAATTACTAACACAAAAGGTGGGCTCTTGTCCCAGGGTTTACCTGATTCACTAATCTGTTCCCCAGTTTGCATAACATTTGAGGTAGGAAGCTGTAGAGGAGTGAAGGATGGTCTTCCCTGAGGCAATAGAAAACTGAGGAGCTCAAGCCTTCTGTCTGCTATGTAATTCCAGTGCAAGGCAGGCAAATCACTTAAAAGAGATTTTTCACAAGTGCTCCCTCAATATCCAGCTTGAGACTCTGGACTTTAATTTACAGAAGAACCCAGTACTCACAGTTGCAATTTTAAGTGCACTTTCATTGTGGAACTATATCAAGAACCATTTAAAGACAGTCTAAAAAATCATTTCCTACTTGACCTAGACTGGGTACCCAAAAATGCTGCTTCCGTTAATATCTGTCCACTTCTCTGTGAATGAGAAGGGGAAGACCCTCATCTTGTAGAAACACAAGAAAATAAATTAAGATTTTAAAGAAACCAGAAGAGCTCAAGAGGAGATGTCTTTAGTGAAGAGCTTTAATAGAGGTCTGGGGCCACACACTGAACAAGTAAAAAGGCAATACCTCAATCAGTTCATCTGTAATGAAGGACAGTTCATCCTGTGCACTGAACGAGGCACATGAAAAAGAACTCCAGGGCTCAAAGACTATGGTTGATTGTGTTGTGGGCTGCTGTTACTCCAGCATTTTGTAGCTTCTGAATGTTAATTTGTGCAGCTCTAAGGACCTTCTTTTAGCTTAATTTTTTCCATGGATAAATTTCAAGGTTGTTTCAAAAGCAGAATATTAACATAAATCAGTCATACGGGGAGATAATCTTTATGTTCGTAGTTGGAAATAGGAGAGGTGTTGAATGGGTGGAAAAGCTGATAGTTCTGTTATCTTGTTGGTTCTGCTCTAAAATAAGCATGTTGTGCCTATGGATTTGGCTGACATTAGAGGAGTATAAAGCACAGGAATATCAATTTGGGCACAAGTGGAATATACATTAATGAACACAGAACTTTTACTTGATCCTGTCAGGCTTGACTCCATCCACTACTTGTCTTGTTCTAGTCCCATTAATTCTTCACATTGTTCTCCACACAATCCACTCTGCCTCCATGCTCTTGTTCCTCTAGTTTTCTCCCTGCAGTCCTTTCCTCACAGTCCATCATTACCCAACTTCTCTTCCCATTTCAGTTCCCACTCAGTCACTGTCTCCAGACCATATATTTACCCTTTTGTCAGCCTTTTTATTAGGTAGTTTCTGTCCTCCTTTATATTGTTTTATTATTAGTTCCACCTCTTTTTCCTTTTTTTCTTTCCTCTATCACAGTGGGTGGTACTACTCTGCACAGTCAGGCCCTCTCTCCCTCCACTCCAAATTTCTGCTCCTTAATAATCTTCAAGTTTGGGATTTTTCTTCTATCATATCTTTTTCTTTAGACTCAAGGTTAAATTTTTGTCGACTCTGCATCCAAATCCTGCTGATGCCACTCCCACACTCCCCAGCAGCCTTCAGTGTGAAAAGTGATCACAAAGAAGAGAGTCAAGTTGGTCTCCCTGTCTTTACTGCAGTCCTATCAAAAAGAGCTACAGGCATAGGAAACTTTTCACACAATCAGACCAATGAAGGAATTGCACTTGGAAGTTAACTCACTGGAATTCAGATCTTAAGAGCATACCAAAAAAAAATGTTCATGATAGGGATCTCCTGAAAAAAAAATCCATGTTAAACATAATAAATTACTTGTGGAGCTGTTTTGAGTTTATGAGTCCAGCTTCATCCAGTCTCTGCTACTCAAGACAAACAGAAAGAATCGCACGAGGGGCAGATCAACTCACTTCTGCATTTACATAGTTACCTTACACAGATAGAAGCAAACCAGTCATCTCAATTATCCTTAAAGGCTGTCCAGAATACTTCTGAGAGAATGTGGCCACCACAAACTGGAACTAACACTGCATGCCTAAGCCTGCTTGAGCTGCCACATCAGGAACGGTGTTGCAGGGCACAAGAGAGCTACTTACTCTCTTCTAGTAATGCAGAAGGAGCCTACTTCTACAAGAAACAGGAAAATATGGTCAGTTCAGTAAGGAAAGATCAAACCACCTGGGTAATGAAACATGAAAAAGCAGACAGGATCCTTTATAGGTTTTCCTTCTCAGTGATAAACCAGTGATGCTGTTCAGACAAATAGTATGAAATGACCTTCATGAGTCTGAAAATTGTTTCATGTGACAGAAAAGACGTTTGCACAAAACTGTGGCTGCACATGAGGATGTAGACAGAAAGTCATCCTTGTTTCACTTCTTTACAGAATCTGTTTCTAGACTCAAATCCCTGAAGGGCAGGAGCACCTCTTTTTCAAGCCTATGGCCTTCTTAGCATCCCAGCTCCCACACTGGCTGCAGAGCTTTGTATGCAAGGCCTACAGTTGAAATCCAGTATCTGAAAGTCCATTTAAAGTCTTTAAGTGGGATGAGATGGGCAATGGGTCAGTGTTTCTAAGAGAAGTCCTTTGGCATGAGGGCAGGAAGAAACAACTTGCGGCTTCCTGAACCTACCTTTGATTTCTTTAGTCTTCCTGAGGTAGGAATATTATTTCCTTTTCCTAATTCCTTACAAAACTGTAGTTCCAGACACCTGGCAGAGGTCCTGGAGCTGAATACCTTGGCAGAGATCTGCTATATTCTAGAAATAGTTGCTAAATATAGCTAAGTTCATGTAAACTAGTCACATTTAGCCACTTGTTCAGTTAATCAAGTTGCACAGAGCATCCTAACTTCAGCAAATAATTATTTGGGGTAAGCTTCTGCACACTGACTGCAAAAAGAGTAACTTTTTACAAGATGTTGTTTCACATCAAAGAAATTATTAAAGTACAATGAGAAAGTCATAAGAACTCTATTAACTGTAGTGTTCCTTGTTCCTCGGGTTTATTACTTTTACTTTTCATCCTAGAAATATTTTCTGTATGATTTTGCTTTCTTTTTCTTTAACACATTTCTTAATTTCAAAAAAGTTTCCTTACTTTTTGTTTTTAATTTCTCTTTCTTTTTTTTTTATGTCCTTTTTTCATTTATGTTGTTGTCTTCCTTATAGCTTTTCCTTTTTCTCTCATCATCACCCATTCATCCCTAACCAGCAACAAGTGCTAATTATTTTGGAGACTAAACATAACAGCTATTTTGAAATAAAAAATATTTTAAAGTAAGTTCTGTCTAAGAAAGGACTACAAGATTCATCTCTGCTATTCCTGTCTCTTCTGTATGATTTCTTTATATTGTCTAACCCTATTTGTATTCTCTTTTCTCTTCTTTGTTTCGTTTTCATTCAATTCTACATCTTTATTCCTCCCTTTTTTCCTTTTCATTTTCCTTTTCTGAAATGCATCCCTCTGCTCATTTCTATAACTTTTCCACCATATGTTCTCTTTGTGGAAATCACTGGTTCCCCTTGTGCTCTGAGACTTGTGTCTCCAAGAAGTTCCTTTCTTCCTCCCAAATTCATTTTACTGTCATCTGTTACTATGAAATTAAAATGCCTCCCATAAACAAATTATTCTTTTTTTTTCCCCTGAGCATCACTCCATTTTCCATTATCAATGTTTTGTCCTGCCTTTCTTATCCAATTTACTTTCCATTGGCTAGCTATTTCTCCTCCTGTCTGACTGGGGAAATCATCCCCTTGTAATCCCTCCTGTGGCAGAACTCTGTGCAACAGAAATTTGGTTTCTCCTTCAGGGTGCACTGATTTCTCTGTAGCAGCTCTTTCCCCTAACTATTAAAATCACAGCATATTTTCACTCAACAACAAACTCACACAGGATTTTCAGAAGAATTCAAAAGTGGAAGAAGTATTCCCTTTAGTAGGAAAAAAAAGATTTCAATGCAGGAGAGCCTGTGGATTTAATTTCTTCCACACCACTCATCTATCTTCACCATCCACCAGAACAGCTGATGGAATTTTAGCTGTCTTCCTTTTTGTTATAGGTACCCATATCCTCTGAAATGGCCCCAGAAAACCACCTGACCTTCCTCCACCACCCAGTAGCTTCATAGGCAGCCACTGTTTTCTCATGCAATAATGTAAACTTGGAGTCTTGAAATACATCACTCTAGATCCCAAACACGCAATCGGTTTGGCATTCTCTATTTTCCTGTTGACACTGGGTGGCCTTCCCTGGGATATCCTCTTAATTGAAAAAGAACCAGCTTATTTACTGTCTTCAATAAGCTAGTCTTCCTAAAATGTGAAGTGCACTATATGTTCAACTGTTCTGAAAGCTCAGAACTTGTTAAAGTCCATAATCTCTTTGAATATGTTTATATATGAGCATATTTAAACCACACAGTCTAAGACTGTATTGATGGCATTTTAATGCAATAGAGTAAAAGAGACCAATGATGTCAAAAGACTGGTCTTCATAGCACTATTTGTGTTTTAGGGAAGTGACAGAAGACAGGATCTGTGGATTTCAAAGGGCTTTGAATCACATCCAAACTAGAAGTGGTTCCCATTTCACACAAATGCTATTTTCCCTGGAGTTCAAGATAAGACATTTCAGTGTTTCAGTCCATCTGTTAGTACTTCCCTGTTGCCAAAGATTCTATGAAAGAATGAAGCCTTTTTCTCAACAGATATTCCACTGTATACTACATTCTACTCCCATATTACTGAAGGGCATCACAGGTTTTTTCTCATCTCAAGGAGAGCTCAGCCTAATATTTCCCTCATCCAAGTGCCCCAGGCAGGAATGATCTTTCCACTATGCTCACTGTTGCAACAGTGCCAGATCATTCTAGATCCTGCAGAACTTGGCAGAATTTCTCTATGATTTCTCTACAATTAGTTTTCTCACTTCCCTTTTTATTCCTAACAGGAGTTGGGGATGATTACGGGTGCCAGGTGCCATAGTTTGCTACTTTGGAAGTTCTCTGGGAAAACCTGAATTGTCCTTTGTTACATTCCTAACAGCCTTAGTCAGAGGCCTTAAAGTAACAGAAGGAAAGAGGTGAGGAAAGTCACCGTTTTAGTGCACTTTACTTAGGGAACTTTTTGAGGCCAGTATCATTTTTGATATTTAGTACAGAGACCTAAAGGGCAGATAAGTCTGCAGCTCCATTCTGTGTCTCTGAAATTCAGAATCGGTACGCTAGATAGACTATACGGTGTAAGCAGGAAAATTTCACGCTCCTAAACGCAATTACTTTATAAACCTCAGTGGCCAATGTCACAGCACTTACTCCTAAAGCAAACAATATGCACCCTAGCTTTGTACTGAATGAGTGTGTGGGTGTGCTGTACTTGTGTACAGCAGTGAGAACAGCAGAGATGACTCTGAGAGTGGAATATCATTGAAACAAGGTTCAGCCTGTGTGCATGTTTATTTGTATGCATAGTTCATGCGGTCCCTGGTTGCATACACAAGAGTTTTAAAAATATTATTGCCATTTCTGCTTCTTACTCTCAAGCAACTGAGTAAATTTCTATATCAGAAAACCCTTTTCCCTCTGTTTATTATTATTGGACAAAAAGTTTTTTCATAGGATGTTTCCATCACAAGGAAATTTTACTCTAGGCTTATAAACCCCTGAAAATAAAAGCTTTGCTACTGTAATGCTGATAAGCCCTCACTAGAGCCATACTAGCAGGAGCCATTCTCATATAGGGTTCAGAATGGTAATGTAGTCTAGCACTGTCCTTGGACAACTGCTTGCATTTACAGAAATTCAGGGGTTATTGTGCTGCAAACTTTTCACCTCGGAGTCTGAGGAATGAGGTGAAGAACAATAGAGATGTCTCACTGGGAGAATGGCTTCACTACATGCAGGATTGCACAATACTTTGAAATCTTCTACCATCCCAGTCCCATGCTGTCTCTGACTTGGCAAACACTTTCATTTAGTCAGGGATCAGTAGCTTGAGAGGGGGGGGGAAGTTCCATTCTCCAGCTGTTGTGTCATTTCCCTTGATAAGTCCTAAATTGACCGAGTTATCCAGCTCCAAAGGAGCTTTTCTGTGGTAGACATGCTTTATTATGTGCCCTTTCAGGGACAAAGGCTTCTGTGTCACTAAACTGCTATAGAGAGGAAGGACAGATTTATTCTCACAGCATCATAAGCATTATCTTCTGAGGGGCTAATGTAAAAGTAAAAAAAACTGTGCAGCATTACCATCCAAAACCAGTGTTGCTGCTCCTTGATTATCGACCTGATGGGAGGCAGAATAAAAAGCTTTAAAGGCTGCTTCTCATAAGGGCGTATTTTAAAAGACAGTTTTTAAATTAAGGTGGTTTTAAAGGCAGAATTTTTTGGGTTTTTTAATTTGCCAGGTTATTTTGGATATTCATGTAGCAGTTTAGGTTGAGTATTGTCTAAAAGGGAAGAAACAGTTGTGAATCTCCTTATTTGGCACTAACTTTATATAAAGCACAAAGACTTGATTTCAAGTTAAAAATCCAAGTAGCTCATACATATATGAGCCCTCCCCACAGACTGGAAATACGTATACATTAACACCAACCATCATGCTATGTGATTAAATGGAGAAACAGGGAACATGACTCCTCAGTCCAGAGAAGACTGCAAGGCATAAATGGCAGCGAAGAGCCCAGGCACATGCTCCCTCTAAGGTGAGCTGGCCTTTATTAGCAAAGTTCAGCAAAGGCATAGCTTTGAAAATCTTCCACCTGCAGACAACTGCAGCCCCATCAGCATCTTAGCAATCTGAGCACACCTGACAAGCCAAGTCTGTTCCTTTTTGGGGAAGAGGAGAAAGGGGTCAGTATTAAAAAATTTGAACTTGAAAGTCTTGACAATGAAAATGGCTGTAAGCCTGTCCCACTGATATGTGATGCAAAGAATTGACATGACTAAAAAATATCTCAACAGATCCTCAGACAGCCACTGGAGAAGTGGATGGGGTAAATCTGGAAGAAATACGAGAATTTGCCAAAGCTTTTAAAATCCGGCGCCTGTCCCTTGGCCTGACACAGACTCAAGTTGGCCAAGCCCTAAGCGCCACCGAAGGCCCAGCCTATAGCCAGTCTGCCATCTGCAGGTAACAAGTTACATCATAAACTCCTCTTCTCTCTTTGTCCTTAGTAATGATCCAGTTTATTGTGAAGAGCATGCTTGTGTTTGTGTCTCATAATTTTAGAGTGTATTATTTAACCTGATATTTAAATTAGCTAATAATATTGTTGTCTATCATATAAATTGTTCTTATTGTGTATATTTAGAGTGATTTTGGTTTTGTTTTTTTTTTTTTCTCCTTTTCTAAACAAGTGAGAAACAATGTTCCTGGCATAGAGATTTAATTCTGTAGATGAGCTGGAGATCCTGCTGATGCTGGATAAGCACCAGCTGACCCTCTTCATACTGTGCCATTTTCTACAGATAGGGTTACTGAACAAATATTTCATGGCTGCATCCCTGCTAAGTTAAAACCTGTATTACTGTGGTTAGCACTTCACATAGAGGATGTTAATGATGATTTACCTAGGCAACACAGAAGGGAAAAAAATAGCCTTCCTGCTATCTTGCAAACCAGCAGCTATTCATCTTTTATCACACAAATATTTATGGAAAAAAACCAGACAAACCCATGTATGCAAAGCAGAAGCAGAAGTCTGTCCTAATCATAAGAAATAAAAATACAGTCTTGACAGAGTTAAAGTAGAAGCAAACACCTCATATGCATGTATGTGTGTTACAGTAATCCCATGTTTATGCATGAAGTAACAAACACACTTAGGTAACAGCTTTTTCCTCTTGGGCAATGCCTTATAGTCCTTCTCCATCAGTGAAAGCCAAGAAACCAACTCTAAGCTCATTTAAGTGGATTTTGTTCTTGGTGATCCATGAAATTCTCTGTCTTTTTATCTGCTCTTTATACTTTTAATGTATTCCCCATAGAATGGAAGCGTACTTTTCCTGCAGTTAAAGACTAAGGTTATAAATAACATCAGTATGGGGTAGTGTGCTTGCAGCTCACATTTTGCTCAATGATTTTCCATAAAACCCATTGATTGTTGTTAAATACAAAAAGCTCCATAGGATCCTCTCACTTCTATGGTCTCCCCTACTGTTTTTTCTTATAAGATACCTCCCTGTAGAAAATAACCTTTATTCAGTCTATACAAGGATACTACTGCTGGGAAATTTGTTTCAAGACTTGTATGTCGTTACACCAAACATGTCCTGCAGTAGCTACACTAACAAACAATGCCAATGATATGAATGCTATTGTTCCCTATTGCTAAGGATTAGTTTTTTGTTTTGGTTTGGGTTTTTTTATTCCTTTGTTGTCATTTGGTAAAGAATGCCTAAAATGGGTGAAGTTTTTAGCAACTGACAATTTTTTGTAGCCTTCGGTTGCTGTTTATCATGCTATACTTTAAAGGGAAACATTGTGGTTTCCTTTACTTTTGCCTAGTTTGCTGTCATCTCATTTCCTCCACCTACCTTACACTTTGAGAAAGCACTGGGGATGGTGAGACCTTTTACAGAGGGCTCCTCGGAGGGGCAAGTTGCTCAGAACATGAGATTGGGTGCAAGAGCTTGTCCCAAATAAATGCAAGGTTATAGTTTTTTTAATTTCCTTTGCCCACCTCAGATGGGCACTATTTTGGGGTGTAATTACATGCCTGTGCACTTTTTTTAAGGTGCATCAATGGAAACATGTGCTCCTCAGAAACAGATTTAACTGTTTTTTTCAGTTGTAACAAAGGAGTTTCAGTATAAACTCCAGGTCAATGGAAGGGGCAGTAAGGCAAGCAATTTGAGCAACCAACTAGAAAAGAAAAGTGGAATCTCCTGGTGGCCTATGCAGGTCATATGAACAATATACCACCTTGATATGTTCTGCATGCAAATAGCAGCATTTTCTTTAACTCGAGACAATACATTCTAAAATATTTCATTCAGCCTGAAATATCACTGGACACCAAGGAATGAAACCTTGCAGTCAACACCACATTAAGACGTCAGGCACCAGTTGCAAATTCTTTGGAGTATTATTATCTGAAATTATTCTTTGTCTTTTTCTTTGTTTGTGAGAAGTGCTTTGTTTCTTGCTGGAATATTTTTTGCTGCCTCCACATGCTGAATGGAGACACTAAAAATGGCCAGCTCCAGCCACCAACTTTATTTGCATAAAGGGATTGATTCAGTTCCTCTCATCTCCAGAGCACTCTGTGATTAGTGGTGGTGGTGGTGCTTCAGCACCACCTGGGCTGGAAAGCACAGCAGCAACATCCAGTAATTGTAGCCTTTCTGCAGCATTAAATACCACAACGTGCAGAGTGGACAGAGCAAAGTGGGAAAATACAAATGGATGGCATCAAAGGACTTGGGTTAAGACTTTTTAAATGTGTAGCAAAAGAGGATAAACTCAGTAAGTGAAAGAAACAAATACTTATAAGACTTGAAACATGAACTCTGCTCTTCTGCTTGTTTTTGAAAGGATTAAAGCTTTGTGTGGCTGCTTTTCCAGATGTTTTATAATACTTGTGAAATCTGGTTTGGCAAAAGACTTTTGATGGTAAAATGATATATAGAAGACCTCATTTACAGGAAATGATATCATTCTGGTACAGTTTGCAGAAATCCCACAATAAACTCAGCTTGGTGCCACAGCATATTAGTAGACTGTTATGCTGGTTTTCATCTGGAAAACATGAGTCTGTCTTTGCACATTGTGGGGACAGCAAGATAATTGTAAAGTGTCCAGCTGTTTCAGCTGAACACCACCGTGGTTTGGGGAATTTTTTTTTTCCAGCCCAGAAAAGGGATATAGCATTAACTTACAAACAGTGAAAATTGCTGAAAAATGGAAAAGGAAACCTGATATTCAGAGGCTAGTATTTGCCATTGTTTTTTATTATTAAAGCTGTGGTGTTTGGATAACATGGGATGGGAGGGATAACAAAAGGATTAAGCACAAAGACAAGATGATAAAAGCAATGCCTTTGATATCATTTCCTGTAATTAGACTTAGTCTCCAGGGTTTTGAAGATCATCAGAAATATGAAAATGTAATTCTTAACCTGTATTATTTAGTGTACTTATAATTTTGTTGTAGTGCTCATTTTGTGTTAGCTTAAATCTCTAGCTATATATATATATCTATATCTATGTATAGATATACCTGACAGTTTTCATAATCTACTGTAAATTACCTCTGCCAGTCAATTAGTCAGGCAGGCAGGAAGTCCCACCCTGGCAGAGCATCAGTGTAAGACTCTTCTTTCTCAATTTTCCCTCAGACACACCATCCTGAGAAGCCACTTTTTCCTACCACAGGAAGCCCAAGAGAACACTATAGCTAGCAGTCTGACAGCCAAACTGAACCCTGGCCTTTTGTATCCTGCCAGGTTTGAAAAGCTGGACATCACCCCTAAAAGTGCCCAGAAGATAAAGCCGGTGCTTGAGCGGTGGATGGCTGAGGCTGAGGCCCGCCATCGAGCAGGGATGCAGAACCTTACCGAGTTTATTGGGAGCGAACCATCCAAAAAGCGCAAGAGGCGTACCTCATTCACGCCACAAGCCCTTGAAATCTTGAATGCCCACTTTGAGAAGAACACGCATCCCTCTGGGCAAGAAATGACAGAGATTGCAGAGAAACTGAACTATGACCGGGAAGTAGTTAGAGTTTGGTTCTGCAATAAGAGGCAAGCACTGAAGAACACAATTAAACGTTTGAAACAGCACGAGCCCGCGACAGCAGTTCCTATGGAGCCTTTAACAGACTCTCTGGAAGAAAACTCCTAAACGCAAAACAAAACAAAGCCAAATCACACAGAAAAAAAAAAACAACCCCACACCAACCGAAACGTGTCCGTTTGAACTCTGTGAAAATTCCTATTCATCACCCTTGTAAGTAAAAGACTGAGAAAACTACAAGAAGGACAGAACAGTTTATAAATGTCCGTGGGTTTTCCTATTTAAAAAAAAAAAAAACAAAACAAAAAAAAAATACACAACACTTAGAGTGTGTGTGGTAGAATTAGTTCCCAAAAAATCCCGAAAAAGCCAGTTTTTTTAAATGGACTTAAAGTAAACCAAATAACTGCTTAATTTTTTCTGTATATTATGAAAATATGAACACATTTTAAGGAAAAACAAAACAAACAACAAAAGGAAAAAAAAAGAAAAAAAAAAAGAAAAAAAAAACTTTTATCTGTTTAAAAGAGAATACAAGCCTGCCACCTGGAGGAGTGATTGTAGCCTTTCAGGTATCAAGTGCTGATTCACTATGAAAACTATTAACCAAAGTCAGAAACATGGCATTGCAAACTAGATTGTTAGTGTACTCTTTTATGAGTGTAAAATTGTGTTATGAATTTTTGCATTTGTATTTTGCAAAGAGGAATACAGGATTAATTTCTCTCATCCTTGTTTGTACCCCCTGCAGGTGTGTACAAAGCCATTCCGTAGTAGTCACCTCATTTTCTTTTCTTTCAGTCAACAGTTTTGCAATCTTCTAATGTTTGGGTGCCAAAAATAATTACTTTTTATTGTGATTTGTGGGGTTTGATATTTCTCTTATAAGGGTGTATGTCTTGGTTTGCATTTATTTTTCTGGTTTTTTTCTTGATTCTATTTGCTGCCTCCTCCCATCCAGTTCATTCTCCACCCCTGCCTCAAGCCCCCCCAAACCCAGTACTGTTTGAAGAGTTTTAAAAAGAAAAGTGAAATCTGAACACTTTTATATGCTGAAATGCAATGAGGACAAAGAAGGATTAGGATTATGTCTGATGGACTGTCAAACCCACGCTGAACATTGTGCTTTTTGTCGAATGTGTAGCTTGAGATTTCTCTGTCCTTTAGCCGTGAACCTGGAGAGGTTACCAAAACTCATTTTGTAGTATAAATATAAACTGCACACTTGGTACAGTACTGCATCTATATTATGGTTCCATTTGAAGCAATTTCTCTCCAAAGTCTGCTAGCCAAAGAAATTTCTTGAGGTTCTGATGAAAACAGATGGACAGGCTGAGAAGTGATGAGGATGTTTTGATCATCACTTCACTGTGGACAATTCGAACGATAGTGCTTTGTTCCTTCTGGCTTTTTTTTTATGTCATATTGATGCTTGCCCTGTTGACTTCTTTAGTAGGAAGATGTGCTTCTGCAGATGTTTGCTGTGGCCACTGGCTAGACTAAACAGTTGGGACACAGGGAAAACCACTGAATGTCCCTCGATAATATAAGGTGGGTCTCCTGCAATATGATTCAGGTGAACTGATTTCTCTTTAAAGACAGTTCATCTCTGTGGCTTCCTTTCTGATTGGACAAGCATCTGCTAAAATACTGTGGTCGTTGGACCTACAAGCAGACCAAGGCTCAGAGGCAGAGAAAGGTGTTGCAGGTTCTTGATGAGGTGTGGTCTGACCTGTGAAGGTCATCTGCAATCTTCATCCTCTGCTCAGTTTGACTCAAAGCTTTGGGATTAAGCTCACCCTTAGGGTAGAAGCTGCATCTTCATCAGGTCTTCCCAAAGGATAGCATTAGATAATTGGTTCAGCTCACTGTAGAGATGGTAAAATTCTGCTGGTACAACTCCTGATTGCATTCCTTGACCTCAAAATGCTTGTGCTGGATTTTTAGTAGTCTACCTTGGGATGTGGAAAGAAGTTCCTGAAGTGCTGGAGTCTTCAAATAACACCTCTCTTACTAAAGAGTTTTCAAAAATTCCAGGCTATATCCAAAACTTAGTGAAAGAAATAAACTTTCAATGATTTCACTAGTCTTGGAATCTGGCCCTCAGTATTTTATTAATGGGATTTGCCTTGTAAAGTGGGGTATATATTGCATGGTTGGTGGAGCTTTAAGATTTCAGAGACCATCATCTGGACCAGAAGCTGCTTCTAAATGTGAGCACTCTCAAAGGTCAGTGTTGGAGCACACTGAGGATCCAGTACTCCAGGATGGGCTCATGTCCAGCAAATGCATTTAAGACTTTAAGCTTTACCAGGGCATGTTTAAGGATATTTTCAGTCTTGCTTTTATGAGGAGGAGAGTGAAAATTGTTATTGACTCTTTTTCAACTGTTGGTATACAAATAACTGCTAGGAGGGAAAACACCTCAGATTGTGAGGGACAAAAAAGACTCTTAATCCAAGCTGACTCTTAATCCAAGATGTAAATTAGAGTCTCACAGCAACATCTGCACCTCTGGGTTTCCTTTTTACCCTCTCTCTCCATAGATACCTATATCCTCAGAAATATCTACCTTGTCTACACCAAACAGCCCTAAAGTTGTTGCCACAGTTCAATCTACATAATGATCAGACCACCGTCCAGAAGCCAACAGGAAAGTAAGAATGAACAAATCATATTTGGAAGCAGTCACTCCTGAAATCCTGCCCATGTCTCCAGAACACTCCTGATTGCCCGGTCATTAATGCCACATACACAATTACATGTTCAGTCATCCTTAGGGCCATACCCTCCCCCACTCCATCCTCACCATCAACAGCCTGGGAACAAAACCATCAACCATTCTTTGCCTCAAAACTAAATTTCCAATTCTCCCAGGGACTGCTCCAAATTCTGTGAAGAAAAATCCCCCAAGAAAAAAGGTTAACTAAACACTGTATGAAAGATGCTAAATGTTTAAAAATATGCTGGCAGCAGTTATATAAGCTCTCTTCTGTTCCAAAGTACATATCGGAAGGATATAACTAGGACAGTGAAAATGTAAAATAAATATAAATTGCCAGCATGGAAGAAAAAATAATGTTCATCCCACAGTCTTAAAATCATTCATGTGCAGTGATTTTTTTTACAGTTTTCTAATTTTGTATTATGTTTTGTAAATTATTTATAAAGTGTTGTAATGCTTCTCATATTAATTTTTTTATACACAAATTTTTGCTATGAGGCATAAATGGTGCCTGAACAGATTCTTAGGAAGATAAATTATGTGTGAGTCATACATCATTGGGAGGGCCATAAATGTTTTGTTTTGTTCTGTTACTGGCAACATTTCTGGTTCCCATTTGTAAACAATTTTATGTATTGATAACATTTGAATACATTTTAATTTTGCATGTGACTAAAAGATAGATTGCTACCAGCAAATGAAACAAAAGTCTCTTTGGTCATATGTAAAGGTTTAATGGTTTTCCACTTTGTTGATAGTTGATTTTTTTTAAAATATATATATATATATATAAAAAATATTATTTGAATAATGAGCCAAGGGTTCACTTACTCTTCTGATTTTGTCTTTTTATGTTTTTCACTAAAAAGCTATTTTGGACAGTTGAAGAACTCAAATGCATTCAAATGGTTCCAATTTCTTTACATTATTACTGAAAAAAAAAGAAAAAGCCAAAAAAAAAAAAAAAAAGAAAAAAAGAAAAAAGAGAAAGAACGAGGAAGCAAAAAGGAGCTAGGAAGGAACAAGTAGAGGCGTATCAAAGAACTCAAGCTATAACCAAAAAGAAATATGTAAAATGCCTTTGCTCGTCTTCTCAATGCTGGACCAAAGCTCAATGTATGTAGGTATATGCACATTGTATAGATATGGCTAAATGTTGCTGACAATCTCGCAATACTAAACTGTTACTATTTTAAAAAAATACAAAAATAAAACTGTTCATCAGTGTTTTACCTCAGCACTCTACTTGTACCCAGTTATTGACCAACATTCAAATAAGAAGATAAGAGAGGAAATTGATTTCCATGTCAATGTTTGACTGTAAAATCTGTTTGGAAAACATTTTGTAATGAGCTTTTTGTCACGTGGTTTGCTTGTTTCCAACTTGAGACTATGTGGGGCACATTCGTTTATTTATTGTTAAAAGGTGATATTATTACTATTATTATTATTATTATTAATTATTATTATTACTATTATTATTATTTTTGTCCTATGTGCTATAATCTACAGAATGGTCACCAGGGTCACTTATGAAGCACTGCGAAGAGATCTGTTTTTCCATGCATGGAGCATGCAGGGGGAAAGATGGCAGTACAAAATGGACTGTATTGTGTTGTTAAAAGATATTAATAAATAAAAAAGGAGTGGATATGGTGGACTTGTGACCAAGAAAACAAACTGGATATTTAAAAGCTCCTTACTACTCTGACTTTGAAACCAAAGCTGATTTATCTGCACAGGTTGCTTAACATGAAAAAGAATAAAAAATAAAAAAAACTGACAAAAACTGTACTTAATCTAGAGCAATATCTGTATGGTCAGTAAAGCTGCACTTTGTGTATTTCTTAACAGCTTCAGATCTGTCACTTTTAATTTGTACCATAAAAAATAAAAAATTGTTTGACATGAAAAATAAGATCCTTTCATGTGTTTGTCTTAAATCTCATGCATTATTCACATTATCCAAGCTCATGTAATTTCACATCAGTTCAATACAAAAATAGCTAAATGCTAGAAAAAAAGAGTGAAAATCCATTTGCACCGTGGAGCATAACTTTATCTGCAAAACTAAACACTGTTTCTGTACCCAGAGTGGGTACATGAATTGGCGATGTCTTATTTTCTCTACAGGTATTGCAGAGTAGAGGATCTCCCTCAGGAGTACTCTGGAACCCCCCAGGTGAGTGTGTGTTGTCCCCCAGGCCAAATGGAGCAAGGTACAGATGGACATGAAGGCCAGTGTATCCCCCCATGCCTCCATCCCCAGCCCCGTAACAAAGCCCTGGTAAGTGATAGGAGTGTGTTAGAGAGGCTGGGTCAGCCATTTCAATTATTTCTCTTGCATTTTTGCAGAGCTCATGGGGTTCATTACTCAATTATTTCTGTAATTATGATATTAAGTCACAGAAATACCTGTTTTCCAGGCCACTTCTCTTGAGTCACGTTGAGTTTTGTTAAAATACAGGAGTCTAAAAGATCAGCATACTTGAGAAATTAATTAGTTGTATTATAAAGGGTTTTTTGGGGAAAAAAAAAAAAAAACCTTGAAATCAAAGTTCTGACAGTCTCAGAATATTGTGTTTGAGTCTTGAGAACAAAATTTTTACAAATAATTTTTTCTTTGATTTTGTTTAATATTGTTTTACTTTTCCAATATTATATGTTAGATAGTCAAAACTAGAACAAAGTTTTGTTCTATTTTAGTTTTATTTGCATAGAAA